GTTCTGTTTGCAGCTGGGATCCCAGGGCTGTCTACTCATCACCGGACTGGCAGAACCTGTGGCGAAAGCCTACTCGTTTATCACAGACCTGGTGGAGAAGTACAGGAGCAGCCAGGGACGGCGTGCCGAGACCGGGACCGGGGTCGCGGGAGAATCCCTGGAGTCGCGTCGGGCCTTCAAGTCCCTAGTTGAGAATCTGGAGGACCGGCACGCCCTCGACCTGCTGGTGTTACCGGTGATGGTGAAGGAGGCTCTGCTGGACCAGGTGAAGCAGTCTGGATTGGACTCGAAAGCAAAGCGGCACCAGGAAGGTCTAATCCCATTGGAAGCCAATGGATCATTAAGCGTTTATGATCATAAAGCAGATAACTCACATTCTGCTTATGACAGGATTAACGCCACGGATGATTTCAGAAATGAATTCCACACTCCGTTTCCCAGAGGCCTTACCCTCGACTCCCCGGAGTCTCCAGAACCCGAATCCGAGACTCCTGCTGTTCCGTCGTCCGCGAGAAACCAAGAGGAGTTCGAGCACCTTCTCAAGTTCTTCAGCGCCATGGGATTCACCGAAGAGGTTGTGCGCGGCGTTCTGGCCCGAACCGGCCCTAAAGAAGCCTCGCAGCTTCTGGATTTGATTCAACAGGAGCACGACAAAACCAACCAGCGGAACAATAACGACAATGCGGTTAGCGAAACGCACGAGGCCATTGAAGTAGGAGAGGATAATGCTGAAGAGGAAGACTTCGTGTTGGGGGTGTTGAAGAAGGCGGCGGCCACTTGTGGATACACCGAGGACAGAGTAATGGAAGCGTTTGGCAGTCTACCCGAGCTCAAGCCACACGAGCTGCTCATGCAACTGCAGAAACAAGAGGTCGCCGAACACGCGATTGGGACGAAAATTGGTGGAAAGCAAGCTGATAAGACGATTGATACATATCCAATGGCAGATTTTGAAAAAGTCGATTCTGGGAGCGGAAACGGAGCGACAAAGCTAAGCATGTCCAAACCGGTAAGCGTTCCCTCAGTGAGAGGCCCGCCTCAGACTACATACGCCTTCGAAACCATGGACCCGCCGGCACGATCGCCTCCACGGAGGATCAAACCAAGCATAGATCTCGGATCCCCAAATCTCCCCAATCACGTCATCGCGCCCAAACCGAGAGCGTCGGAAGCGTCTGTGGTCACGGGACCCCAGCGGTTCCTCGAGAGCCTGAAGACGCCATTCAAACTGCAGCTGTCGGACGAGCCTGGCGACCCCATGCTGCGTCAGGTCATCATCGACGGCAGCAATGTTGCAATGAGGTAGGCTATTTTTTTAACAAATAAAATCATTTAGTTCAGTTAAAGAAAAGACACTAAAATTAAAAACTGAATAGTGTGTGCTGAAAGGAGTAGTTCACTTTTGAAAAAACTTTTGCTGATAATTTACTCGCCCCCATGTCATCCAAGATGTCCATGTCATTCTTTCTTCAGTCGAAAAGAAATGAAGGTTTTTGATGAAAACATTCCAGGATTTTCTCCATATAATGGACTTCAATGGGGTCCAAACGGTTCACGGTCCAAAAGACAGTTTCAGTGCAAACTGTTCAAAGGGCTTTAAGACGATGAATAAGGGTCTTATCAAGCGAAACGATCACTAATTTAATAAATAAATAACAAAGTTTAAGTTTTATAAGCTCAAATGCTCGCCTTGCTCCGTTCTGTGATGCGCGTTCGTGACTCTCCTGTTCGAACTCGTTCATCAAAATGAACGAATCTTTTTCCGAGTCATTTGGTTCATTCAACGAACGAATTGACTCGTGTGTGTTGTGTTTTTGTGCTGACTGACTTAATAATAATTGATCGAATGTACAAAACAATCTACATAAAATCAAATGCATTCCTCTAGTTAGGTTAGAAAAATTCCATTAGTTAAATCTAATTGGATGTATGCATTATGTTTTATGTTAAATTCTTAATTTAATCTATAATTATTAATAAAAATAATTAATTTCCCCCTTTTATCCCTTAAAACTCACCTTTGATCACCAAAATGACATTTTCATGCCTTAAAATATCTTGAATGTAACTCGACACCCTCGTCTCATTTAGTATGCGCGGTTCTATGAATATTCAAATGAGCCCCACCTCCACTCACTGGTTGACGATCACACGTTGATCTGATTGGTTACAATGTCGTTTGTGTTTTTGCCTTTGGTTCACTGCAGGATAATGCAGTACATGAGATGGAGTCGGATCACGATCCAAGGGGTGGAGATGGGTAGGATTAGGGTTGGGTTTAGGGACCAGGGGGCGGAGTTGGTTAGGTTTAGGTGTATGTAAGGTGGGAGGAGTTGGATCTGGATCCGACTCCACCCCATGGAACTCATGTTCTGCAATGAGGACCATCTCGGATAATTTGGGTATTTGGTTGACTTTGGAAATACTCAGCAATGCTGTCCACTTATGACTTATGTTTAAAGATGAGATTTAAGGGATCAAATTATTAACTACAGGCCAGGGGGACATGCATATTGATGTATTCGTACTTTAAAAACAGAGGATGAACACAGCGCTTTTACAGTGACGAGATGACATTATTGATAAGCTAATTCTGAGCAGCTTCGGGAGTGAATGCTTCAGTGTTTACATGAACTAGAGCAGCGAAACTGTGTGTATGTGATGTGATGCTCCACAGTCACGGGCTGGGGGTGTTCTTCTCCTGTCGAGGCATCGCTCTGGCCGTCCAGCACTTCTGGGCGAGAGGACATCGAGAAATCACCGTGTTCATCCCTCAGTGGAGGCAGAAGAACAACTCCAAGAACAAAGGTGATGCTCACTTCATGCCTTATTGACATCTCACACCAAGAACGATAACTATAAGGTCAACTATTCGTCTCTTGAGACAAAACGCCCTTTTCTATTCCACTGCACTTCTTAGTTCACCCAAAAATGAAAATTCTGTCAGTATTTACTCACCCTCATGTTGTTCCAACCCCGTAAGACCTTCGTTCATCTTCGCAACACAAATTCAGATATTAAAGATATTAAGATCGCTCCTGCATACTAGTCCATAGGCTTCTTGAGGGAATGACTCTTGCTGTCCTCGAAAAGTCATTAAAGACATCGTTAAAATAGTCCAAGTGACTACAGTGGCTCAATCTTAACTTTATCAAACGACGAGAGCAAAAAACAACAAAAATAATGACTTTATTTCAACTATTCACTTCCTTCTCCATGAGCCTGTAGTCAGTTAGCGTAGTGTGATTGCGTAAAGCTACGTCACACGAAGGCTCACTATTGGCCGACGCTGGTCATGTGTGTGATGCGTGTGACGTACAATAACAGAAGCTTACGCTATTAAACTAGTAACCTGACTCGCGCAGAGGGAGAAATAAACCAATAGTTGAAATAAAGTCGTTATTTTTGTTGTTTTTTGCTCTCGTCGTTTGATAAAGTTAAGATTGAGCCCCTGTAGTCACTTGGACTATTTTAACGATGTCTTTAATGACTTTTCGAGTCATTCCCTCAAGAAGCCTATGGACTAGTATGCAGGAGCGATCTTAATATCTTAAATATCTTAATTTGTGTTGCGAAGATGAACGAAGGTCTTACGGGGTTGGAACAACATGAGGGTGAGGAAATACTGACAGAATTTTCATTTTTGGGTGAACTAACCCTTTAACGTGCTAAGGTGATTCTACTTTTGTCGCCTGTCACTTTAAATGCACGAGCGCTTCAAAGTCAGGTGGATTCTGATTGGCTGTCAATATTTGTATTGTCCATCATCAAGTAGGAATCGACCAGGGGTGTGTGATTCGCTTGTGTTTGGAGCGACAGATCTCGACCTGCGCTTAGAAGAAGAGTTTGTGGACTCAATAAACCCTGATCTTGAGGAAATAAGCAAGCTGATATTCCGTCTTTTATTTAGAATATTTACGTCTTTTAGTTTGTCAAAAAATGTGTGAACGAGTGCGTAAGAACGCGCAAAATAGCCGAGAAAAATTCGAAACAGTCCTCAGGCGCCTCAAACTGATTAATTATAAGTACCGTAGTTAATTTCTATGATAGTTAAGCAGCGAGTTACGGCGTTGTACGTGAAACGCAGTCTCCAGCGATATCGTTCCTCTACGCCTCTATCGTTATAGTTGTGGTGTGGACTTCCCTGTTCTCAAAGAGTTAGAATGACCAATAAAACATTAAAGTTACCATTAATGCTTGGAGAAACGAAGGTTTTGAATCATTAATGATCCAGCGCCACCTGCTGGTCATGCAAGGAAAAGTCAAACATGTACACAAGCCAATTGAAGATTCATGAAAGTGTCTACATGATTATATGCAGATTGGTGATATGAAGCAGTGCTGGGTCTTTTATTATGTAGTGTGCTCTGTGTTTCCTGTAGAAAAGCATTACCTGACTGACCTGCATGATCTGGGCTTCGTCAAATACACTCCCTCCAGAGAGGTCGAGGGCAAGAGAATCAACTCATACGACGACCGGTAACTCTCACACCAACTGGTTTTTGGAAATCATGGTTCAATGTTGTTCAAAATTTGTGTTAGTTATACAGAAAATGAGTAAACGATGGGAATGCTTTATTCTCAGAAAGATCTTTGTAATATTATCTGACCATTTAGTTTTATCATCAGAATTTAAGTTCTTGTGTTTTTCTTGTCATGATTTCCATCCTTTAAGGAGACCTGACATATTTAGGTCTTCATTTAAAATATCCATGCATGTGGATAAAAATCTATTTTATATATATATTTATATATATTTTATTTTACCGTGTCTGGTCCTCATTTCTAGTAAGCAAGAGTCCAACAAACAGTCAATAAATCAGCAGTTACGAGTCCTTCACCGGTACAGATCTCCTACAGCACAGCATGGCATGTAGCTTAGCTTAGCGGTCAGAAACTGTGTGCACCTTCCCTCCAGCAACACGTCACCTGAAGGAAGGTTCCTACCTATATTCTATATTCAGCAATTACCTAAAAGAGAGACCCCTGCTGGACACACACTTACATGAGGTTTCAATAAATACACTTACAAAGTTTTAACTTAATATAAACTAGTAAACATAATGTCAGTCAAACATAAATGAACAGATTTCTACTCTCAAAAAAAATTTTGATTTTATTTTAATTTAAATAATACAATCAGCTTAAATCTGTTCATTGTAAAACAATTAGATGTCTTTATGAATATGGTTAAAATATGACTAGCTGTGAAACAAGCGATATTCATATTGAAGTCGACTGGATTTATTGATGATAAATGTATAAACCTTTAAAACGTTCAGTTTATTAGTATTATTACAGAAATATGACCTGTGCATAAATATAAAAAAATGCGTATATGTATGATTGAGTTTTTAATTTTATTATATTAATTTTCAGACTATGTCCGACGGAGGCGTATTGCATTCACTTGAAGAAAAAAAAATCTGCTCTGTTTTTCTGAATTAACGAGTTAATTTTTCATGAGAAAAAAAATTTGCTCTGTTTTTCTGAATTAACGAGTTAATTTTTCATGAGAAAAAAAAATTTTTGCTCTGTTTTTCTGAATTAACGAGTTAATTTTTAATGGAATTTTTTTTTGCTCTGTTTTTCTGAATTAATGAGTTAATTCAGAAAAACAGCAAAAATAAATTTTCTCATGAAAAATTAACTCATTAATTCAGAAAAACAGCAAAAATAAATTTTCTCATGAAAAATTAACTCATTAATTCAGAAAAACAGAGCAAAAACTTTTTTTTCTCAAGAAAAACTAACTCATTAATTCAGAAAAAGCAAAAATAAATTTTCTCATGAAAAATTAACTCATTAATTCAGAAAAACAGAGCAAAAACTTTTTTTCTCATGAAAAATTAACTCGTTAATTCAGAAAAAGCAAAAATAAATTTTCTCATGAAAATTAACTCATTAATTCAGAAAACAGAGCAAAAACTTTTTTTCTCATGAAAAATTAACTCGTTAATTCAGAAAAACAGAGCAAAAAAATTTTTTCTCATGAAAAATTAACTCATTAATTCAGAAAAAGCAAAAATAAATTTTCTCATGAAAAATTAACTCATTAATTCAGAAAAACAGAGCAAAAAAATTTTTCTCATGAAAAATTAACTCATTAATTCAGAAAAACAGAGCAATTTTTTTTTTCTCATGAAAAATTAACTCGTTAATTCAGAAAAACAGAGCAATTTTTTTTTCTCATGAAAAATTAACTCGTTAATTCAGAAAAACAGAGTAGATTTTTTTTCTTCAAGTGAATGCAATACGCCTCCGTTAAAGTTCATACTTTTTAACTTGATTTTAATTGTTTTCACAGTAATTTATACTGATAATGAATGCATTTTGAAAATTATTTAAATAAAATAAAAGCAAATTGAAATATGATCAGTTTCAGTTCTGTTCAATTAATTTAATTAGTTTATGTAAAATTTACATGCAATTCAAGCACACAGATCTTAAACGTTTATGAGTGTGTGTGTGATTCCTCCAGATAACGAGTGCTTGTTCTGCAGATTCATGCTGGCGCTGGCGCAGGAGACGAACGGGGTGATCGTGACGAACGACAACCTGAGGGATCTCGTGGACGAGTCGCCCGCGTGGAGAGACATCATCAAGAAGAGGTGACCTCACACTCACTCACCGTCAGTTTCCCTGGCATGATTTATGAGTAACGTGTGGTATTACAGACAGAAGGATATTTCTGAAACACTCACATGTAAAGAGTTATCCGGCTGAAAGTGTCCCGTTATAATATTATCAAGACTCATAATTCAGTCTCTCTAAGCCCCGCCTCTCTGTGATTGGTCAGAAAGCAAACGCTCATTATCATATCTGAGTCTCAGCTCTTGATCACAGTGATACGAACAACACAAACTCTTCCAGTCTCAGATAAACGAGAGTTTGAGGGCGGGGCTTAGAGATGCTGCTCAGCCAATCAGGTGACTTTATGCAAATTAAAGTGAAACTTTATTTTACATTGTCCTTGTTATGTGTAACAGTAAATTATGCATAATTACAGGGTTTACGCTGGGTCTTAAAAAGTCTAAAATTTCTAAATCACAATTTAAGGCCTTAAAAAGTCTTAAATTTGCTGAAGTACTGTGTTCTAGGTCTTAAATCATTTTAAACAGGTCTTAATTTTCCTACGTCCACGTAAATCTCATTGAAATGCTCCTGCAGCGCTTTGGAATATTTTTTTATTTATTTATTTTTATTTATTCTGTGGTTGTATTTTTTTATTTTGCTTGTTCAAATATAATTCGCTGTATTATGACTACAAAATAGACCAACAAGCAACAGCCAATCAGTTTTGAGGTTTTGTGTTATTGGCGGACAGACATAAAACGGATTATATTCAGCTATGGGGAAGTGGAAGTTTAGCGATTCTTGGCTTAAAAATCTGAATTTTGGATCAGATTTTGGATTTTGCTTTTGGATCAGAGCCAACACTAAAAGTGGAGGTGCTCTGGGTTCTCCACGCGGTTTCGAACGATGTTTCCGGACTCTGACATCGCTAAATCCTTCAGTTGCGGGAAAGATAAAACGGACTGCATTATGTGCTTTGGAATAGGGGATTTTATAAAAACAGAAACAGAACTAATTTCCAAAATCACGGGACCGTTTGTGCTGATTTTCGACGAATGTTCAGTTTGAATAAATTAAATTACTTTGCGAATAATTTTGAGACTATGCGTTTTTTGTTTTTTTTTTCGTGATATGGGTCTTAAATTTCATTCATATTGGTCTTAAAAAGGTCTTAAAAAGTCTTAAATTTGACTTTGTGGAACCTGCAGAAACCCAGAATTACATGCAACTAAATCCTCCTTTAACTCTATATAGTAAGTGCATGTTGTTGCTCGAGTGTAACAATGACACATTAACCCTTGTGCATCCTGATGGACATTTTTGTCCTTTTCAGTTTTGTTTTTTTGATCACTTTGCCTGTGTTAAAGCTAACTGCTAAAAATAGTAATATCTTTATAGTAATTTTACTATTTCACCGTCATTTTCTTTAAAAAAAACATTTTTTGCATTAGGTACAAAAAATACTCCCTCTCAGCACCTTTTGGACAAAAATGTCTTCATTGAAAACTGCCATTTTTAATCCCCGGTTCAGCTAACTATAAAATTATGCAATCTTTGTTAAGAGGCTTTCATTCTGATGGACTATTTTTTATCAGATGGTGTCATTTTTTTAAAGTTCGGCCTATAAAACAAATATCGCTTTATTCCTGTTTTCTGCTTCGGCATATTATAGAGCCGACTGGATAAATTATGCAATGATTTTTGTGTGGGTGTGTTGGTATGGATGTCAGAGTGTGGTTAGTATGTGTGTTATAAAAAAATATGTGTGTGTTCCAATCACTGTGAGCTCCAGTGGGGTTTTGCTGCCACCCAATGGGGAAAATATGTTACTGCGCCCAAACAAACTGTTACCGAAAGCTCATTTATTGAGATATCATCCTCAACCTATTTAGATTTATGGCTTTGATTTTATTGCAGTTTTGAGTTCAACCTGATTTATAAAATATATATTTTATATAAAATAATTTTCATAAACTTACACCTATATAACTTTTTTTGGGATTTACTTATTATTATTTTTTTTCCTTCAGCAATAATCTGCAAAGGGTCTTCTTTAAAAATTATACCACAAACTTAAGTCTGTGCTCCGAAGCATCACATTTTTATGACAAGCACATTTTTACCTATGTGTAACTTTTTTTAATTGATGCACAAGTGTAACCCAAATTAGTGCTTCAGGTTCAGCAGGAAGTGGGACCGAATTACTGCCGACTCGTTTCAGAGTCACCTCTTTCTTTTAGGAGACCGCTGTTAGTGTTATTCTGACCAGTGCCGCTTGTGTCTCAGTCTGCTCCAGTACGTGTTTGCTGGAGATCTCTTCATGTTGCCTGATGATCCCCTGGGCCGAGGCGGACCGCACCTCAGAGACTTCCTGCACAAACACCACCGGTAATAATCACTCGACCCAGAGTCTATTCGTCTACAGTAAAACAGTCAAATATCACTCCATCTGTTCTCTATGTGAGAATTACTCCAGTCTTCAGTGTCACATGACCCTTCAGAAATCACTCTAATATGAGGGTCTGATGCTCAAGAAACAGTTATGATTATTATCATAGTTAAAAACGGTTCATATTTCCGTGGAAACTGTGATGTATCGTAATTTCAGGATTGTTTGATAAACAGAAAGTTCAGTCCTCTTGTGAATGTGTCATGTGTTCCTGGCAGCCACACGTTTGCAGGATCGTCCTTCCCCGCTGCGCCACCCGCGCCCCGCGCTCACACCGAGCTCCTGCAGTACCGGGACCGGACCCCAGGGGGCAGAGGTCAGGAGGTCAGCGAGAGGTCGGTGGAGGAGACGCTGGCGCTGCAGCAGAGTCTGCTCCCCATCTTCCCCGGCCAGGAGAGCGTGATCGTCATGATCCTGCAGTGTCACCCGACGCTCCGAGACCTGGAGCGCATCACACACCTCGTGCTGGAGCAGCAGGACTAACACTAGCAGCGCCTCACAGTGGACCGGAGGAAACCCGACACTCATCTCAATCAGAGCTCACACACTCGGGACCGTTTTTAAACTGTGCTTGCGCTTTTAGGAGACGTTTACAATGTGTGCAACACTTTACAATGAGCTACGGAATTAACAAACTTTTAAAATCATTATTAAAATCAGAAATGTAGTTAACGCACTGAACAAACAAGATACGAAGAGTTCAGATGCAAAAGCCTCTAAGTGCCATGTGAAATTTTCTTCTAGAATGATGATTTTTATCAAACTTCAGTGATTTCACTTAAATGGCAATGATGATTACCTATTAATTGTTATTTAAGTGAAATTAATGAACTTAAATACACAAGTTTGATAAAAATCATCATTAAAGAAGAAAATTTCCAATGGCATTTAGAGGCTTTTGCATCTGAACTCTTCACACATGCTTTAGAAATCAGGGTTTCCGCGGGGTCTTAAAAAGTCTGAAATTCTGAACTTTAAATTTAAGGCCTTAAAAAGTCTTAAAAACGGCTAGATTCTTAAATTTGACTTAGTCAGGTCTTAAAAAGATTTTACCCTCGTTCATTTGCCGAAAACTCTGGCCGCAGAAAGCTATTACAAAGTAGAAAAAAAGTATTGAGTCGTAGCCTACAAAGCGGAGCTCTGGAGCAGGGGTTCAAACCGGTTCAAACACGCCGCTCGCGTGCTAGCTAGCATTAGCTCGTGGTCCGTTCATACACCCCCAGACAGCAAACTGACATTGAATCAACGTGGAAACGACGTCTCTCATGACATTGAAACAACGTTGATTTTGCTCATCGAATTAACGTTGAACCAACGTCAGACGCGGCATTCTTCAAAGCTAAATGAAAATCGAAAATTGGTTTGCTTTCATAACGTTGAAACAACGCGTTGATTTCAAGTTGATTTTCCGTTAGTTTTGAAAGAATGACGTGTCTGACGTTGGTTCAACGTTAATTCGATGAGCAAAACAATGTCAGATCAACGTTGGTTCGATGTCATATTTCCACGTTGATTCAATGTCAGTTTGCTATCTGGGCCAGGTTTGCGCGCTCAAGTTTATTCAAATATAGGCAAATGTTCAAATATGCCGCAAACGAAGCGAAGAATCAACCGTAACAACACTGAAAGCTCAGTCAACATGAAGGATCGCGGTGCACCCAAACGCTACCGCTGTCTTTCTCTTCTTCGTGAATAAATCTTGTAGCAGAGCTAACGTTACAGCAAGCGTTTCTCGGTGGCGGAAATCCATTGGCTACTAAAACGTCTTTGTCGTTATGGAGAGCGCAGTGCATGGTTGCTTAGCAACGACAGACGCAACAGGAAAATCGGCCCAAATTTTACCATTAATAAATTAAATTTAATTAATTATTACATTTTTATTAATAAAAGATAAGGGGATGTGAATGTCAGTAATTTATCTTTTTATAAAAGATTATTTAAAGGCTGAAATACGTGAGGTTTATAAAACTATTTTTGTGAAGACTTTATTTTAACTAGATAACCTGTTGCAAGACACTCCTTAAAAATAATGGTATTTTAATGTTTATGTAAACAAAAAGTGCATATAAATGCTAATTTTATTTGCTGGGTTTAGACATACATTTGGCAAATTGATTTCGTAATAATCATGGAATGAAATGTTCATGCCATTTCATCTCTAGGTATGATCAACTAAAATCAACTATAATTGTGGTTTTACAGTATAAAATGCAAAGTAGAAATTTCGCCTACACACACATTATGTAAAATCATTTTTTCCCCGAATATTTACTTATTTTAATTTTTGTGTAGGTCTTAAATTTCAATGTAATGTCTTAAAAAGGTCTTAAATTTGACTTACTGAAACCTGCAGAAACCCTGGAAATGCACTGCACATTGTTTGCTAATGCACAAACTAATGTTCACAAATACTTCCACAGCGCTTATTTATCTTAGTTAATGTTCATTTAAACATTATTAAAATCAAAAATTGTATTTTTTAACATTAGTTAATGCACTGAACAGTCAAGTCAGCTTTATTTATATAGTGCTTTTTACAATACAGATGCTATCAAAGCTTTACAGAGATAACAGGAGAATGACACAGCAAAGTTTATTTCTAGAGAACTATATCGTCATCGTTGACCTGATTCATAATATTGTCCCCTATTACAATCATAAAGACATAAAGTGCTTATTATAAAGTGTTGCTGTTATTTGAAATGTTGATGAATATTTATTTTCTCATGTTTCTTTCTTAAAGTAAGAAGTCAGATCAGAGTTTATTTTTTAAATGTGTTCTTTCGGGGACTGCGGGTGTAATTGACCAATGAATGCATGTTTACATTTTGTATTTTTATACGGATGTTCATTAACATGCAATGTCCCTAATTAATAAATACTTAAAACGGGTTGTCAGTGAGTTTGTGTGACAGGTTATCTACATCAGACCAACAGCAATCCCACGGCTAGACATCTTATATTTATAATTATGCGCTGGATGATGATGATGGCATGTTTTGCGACTGATCGTGTAAATCATTTCATTTAGCTTCATACCGGCTGTTGCGCATGAACGCGTCCAGGTCCTAACCCTAAAGGATTAGTTCACTTTTGAAAAAACTTTTGCTGATAATTTACTCACCCCCGTGTCATCCAAGATGTCCATGTCTTTCTTTCTTCAGTCGAAAAAGAAATTAAGGTTTTTGATGAAAACATTCCAGGATTTTTCTCCATATAATGAACTTCAATGGGGTCCAAACGGTTCAAGGTCGAAAAGACAGTTAATAACAGTTTCAGATGCAGCTTCAAATGTCTTTAAACGACACCAGGCGATGAATAAGGGTCTTATCATGCGAAACGATCGGTTATTTCAAAACTTATTCCAAAAATGTAACTTTTTTTTTTTTTTTTTTTTTTGAAATTACGTTCAAAAGGTCACGGGCGACGTAGCCGGAAGTACAGAATCAAAATCGTCCGACATCGTTGTTTTACCTTTTAATTCATTTTTTTTGTAAATGGCGTTTGAGTTAGTTTGCACGTTCAACCTATGCGTTCAACTAAACACTGACTCTGTATTTCCGGCTACGTCGCCCGTGACCTTTTGAACGTAATTACGTTTTACGTGACGTTACAAACGCGCCTCACAGAATAGAGCAAGGCTAAAGTTACATTTTTGGAATAAGTTTTGAAATAACCGATCGTTTCGCATGATAAGACCCTTATTCATCGTCTGGTGTCGTTTAAAGACATTTGAAGCTGCATCTGAACCGTCCGGTTCCCATGTAAGTCCATTATAAGGAGAAAAATCCTGGAATGTTTTCATCAAAAACCTTAATTTCTTTTCGACTGAGGAAAGAAAGACATGGACATCTTGGATGACATGGGGGCGAGTAAATTATCAGCAAAAGCTTTTTCAAAAGTGAACTAATCCTTAACTAACGCCTCAGATGTAAAGTTATATACTGTCAAAGTGATGCCAAAATGAATGGGAGTCAATGGGAATGCTATAACGCAAGTGAAGTTCTGCTACAAGATGGCAGCTCCCGCGAGGGGGAGGATCCAATCGATGGGTTACCCCCTTGGTCTGTACGAGTCATTCATCATTTTAACGCTCTGAAGAGTACTCAGCAGCGCCCCCTTTGTACATCCCTCGGCTCTGTGTGGAGAGGGATAAGGCGAGTCTTTCCCAAAAATAGCTCTCAATGCGTCCTTTGTTTGCATTTTGCATTGTTCTTTATTATTATTATTGCACACAAAAACGATACATTTTACTTTTATATTTCCTTTATTTTGGGGTGACCACTTTGCTGTGTGATCCAAAGATATACGGGCACTGTATTGTGAAAAGAAAGAAGAAAAGAAACAGAAACTCCTGACTAATTACAGGAATAAAATACGAAGCACACTTATATGTGTTGGTCCTGCGTCGTTTTCCTACGGCCGCACTAGCTTTTCTACTTGATTACTCATAAAACAACCCTGAGAAAAAGATGTATAAATACACACGAGTTCATAATTCAACAAATGATAATAGGTAAATAGCGATAGACGTCCTCTGCTGTTTAGCATTTGCCCAGTAAATAACTAACATGATTAAATAAAAGCTTGTTCACAGTTTCTTTTCAAAGGCAAATTCTGTTTAGGGGCGTCACTCTTCCGGTCCTTCGTCTGGAAGACATTCCCATCGGATTGGGTTCTCCATGAAAGTTGAGCTTCTCCTGAAATCCCCTTCTCCTTCAGGATCTGCTCCATCTGAAGAACATTTGAATGATATATTTCTGCTGTCTTTTCCCAGTGGAATTACAAGAGGACTCACCTTCGCTAAAATCTCTTTCTTCACTTCCGGATCGTTCAGATCTTGACCTGATTTCACCTCCAGTCTCACGATCTGTCTCCTCTTCTCTGTGGGACGAACACAAAGAACAATGTACGATCAACCATACGATGATGAACAGGCGCAGGTCCTTTATCAGATCCGGATACGGCAGACTGCGGTAAACTTCGGGATAAACAGAGAGACTAATATTATGATGTACCAAGTATACATCAGGATTGATGGGACGTGTTCCCGGTTCCGGCTGATCTAAACTATGAAGCCTAACATTGAATTATAGAAGTCTACAGTGTGTTATGTGTATGCTAGGCCAAAGAGACGTGTCTTTAGTCTAGATTTGAACTGAGAGAGTGCGTTTTGGTGCTAAATAGGAAAAGGGTCTACCGCCTTCAATCGATGTTGATATTCCAGTTCACTGTAAAAAATATCCGAGATTTTAACGGTAAAAGACGGTAAAAATGCTACAGTGCAAAACTGTTAATTGGTAAACAGAAAGTTTTCTGTACTTTATACGGTAAATAACTGTGATATATTTTTACAGTAAAACACCGTTCAATTTACAGTTTTTGAAAGTGAAAAAGAACAAATCGTTGTATATTTTACAGTGAAAAACCGTAAATTGGCATTCCCACAATTCCCTGTGTGACACTTCACATTTGATGTATTTTTGTTGAAATAACTATAGTTCCTCATAGTTTTATTGTTTTTTTTCTAATCAGTTATGTACATTAGGGTTTTATGTTACATTTAATGTTGTTAAATTAATGTTTATTGCGTTTTTTAATTTCATGTGTGTTACCATGATGGTGTTTAATGTTTGTGTGAATGACACTGTGCCTTCTTTACATAAATATTACTTAAATAAGTCACTTATGATGAGCTGTGATTGCTCAAGTAACTCTCATCACTGCTGTGTGATGATTGTTGGTTGTCAGTGTATTACATACGTCAATAAGTTGGTAAATCAACATTTTATTAGAAAATAAAATACGGTTTATTACCGTAAATTTTAAGTTAAGTCTGTAAAACCATTAACGGTCCTACCGTATTTTTAACGGTAAAGTTCTGGCAACCACAGCTACCGTTTTTTTACCGTAAAATTTACGGGCTATTTTTTACAGTGTTGTTATCAACTGGCCTGAAATTTGAGATCGCAATAGACGTGAAGGACTATAATACGGTAAGAGGGAGCTGAACTATTTAGTGCTTTGTCAGCAAGTAATAACTTCCAGTGGTTGATTCAATTCAGTACAATCAAGAGAATTGTTTTCTCCTTTTACTTAGAGCTAGTAGGGTTTTCTTCAGCCTAAGGATCCAGTCCAGCCTTCCTCAGACGTGTCCATGATGAATAGTGATTAATAAGCCGTGATACAGCATTATAACCCTCCTCAGTTTGAACCAGTAAAGTGTTAACCACACGTTCTTGCTTGATTTCTGGGTCTTGATCACATTTATCACATTTGGGACTCACTGTGGCGGCAGGAAGAGTAGAGAAATGCAGTTTAGCTGTTGGAAATGTGATTGGGCATGCTTCAAAGACCTTTTTTGAGTACGGTAGAAAAGGCAAATAAGGGAGCAGAAAAGGGCATTGAATTGCAGGGTTCATTTGCATCTGTACTCCCCTGTCCACACCAGCTAAAGGTGACTTTGTCAAATGTTCCACCGTTTATCAAGGATGAAGTGCTAGCAAGAGAGCTTTAGCAAACTTGTTTCACCTGTTAAGAAGATCGCAAATGGTGGTAATCTCCGTGAGCATGTCGATCGGTGGTGCAAACATCAAATCTGCCTCCTGTGTTCTTTCTTTCTCAGTGAAAGCCAAATTGGTGGACAAATGGATTGAAACTGGTTTGGTAATAAAGGACAATTTTGTGCCTGTATTGCCTTTGTCAAGCCTGGCCAAGAAAGTTATTTTGTCAAACATACCGCCGTATGTCAAAAACGAAAACTTGAGAGTTATGGTTAAAAGGTTAGTTCACCCAAAAATGAAAATTCTGTCAGTATTTACTCACCCTCATGTTGTTCCAACCCCGTAAGACCTTCGTTCATCTTCGCAACACAAATTAAGATATTTAAGATATTAAGATCACTCCTGCATGGGGGAATGACTCTTGCTGGCCTCGAAAAGTCATTAAAGACATCGTTAAAATAGTCCAAGTGACTACAGGGGCTCAATTTTAACTTTATCAAACGACGAGAGCAAAAAACAACAAAAATAACGACTTTATTTCAACTATTGGTTTATTTCTCCCTCTGCGCGAGTCAGGTTACTAGTTTAATAGCGTAAGCTTCTGTTATTGTACGTCACACGCATCACACACATGACCAGCGTCGGCCAATAGTGAGCCTTCGTGTGACGTAGCTTTACGCAATCACACTACGTTAACTGACTACAGGCCCATGGAGAAGGAAGTGAATAGTTGAAATAAAGTCGTTATTTTTGTTTGTTTTGGCGCACAAAAGTGTTCTCGTCGTTTGATAAAGTTAAGATTGAGCCACTGTAGTCACTTGGACTATTTTAACGATGTCTTTAATGACTTTTCGAGTCATTCCCTCAAGAAGCCTATGGACTAGTATGCAGGAGCGATCTTAATATCTTAAATATCTTAATTTGTGTTGAAGATGATCGAAGGTCTTACGGGGTTGGAACAACATGAGGGTGAGTAAATACTGACACAATTTTCATTTTTGGGTGAACTAACCCTTTAAAACGAACTATTAAAACGATCCCTCTTGGATGTAAATATCCCGATTCCCGAGATTAGACATGCGAGAGTCGAGCTCGACACTTTGACATATAAATATTTCTGGCCAGTCATCGGAAAGGACTTGTTTGCCATTTTCATGGAGAGTTTCAACAGAGGTACACTTCCTTTGAGTCCACGAAGAGCTGTGGTCACCCTATTACCTAAAAAGGGGGATCTCGAAGACATTAGATGCTGGCTTCCGGTCTCCTTACTCGGAGTAGACTATAAGATATTTTCAAAGTCTTTAACTAACAGAGTTAAATTGTACATTTCCTCGTTGATTCATCCAGATCAGTCATACTGCATTCCAGGAAGGACTATTTTTGATAACCTTTTTTTGATTCGAGACCTGATTTATTTTGCAAAAATACAAAACGTTGTGTCTTTGGATCAGGAGAAAGCATTTGATCGGGTCAGTCATGATTTCCTGACGTTTTCAGAACAATTTCCCCCACGTGCATCGACGGGTGAGTCGAAACTCATTATAATATGCAAATCTGTTATCCACTCACAGCAGTGGGCGTTTCCTTCAGTGCGAGACGCCCATAAAAACCAGCTAGGATCAAAACTAGGCCTATTACTTATTAATTTTGACGTTTTTGAATGCAAAAACCAAGTGAATATCATAAGTTGACCTCAGACAACAATATAATACAATTTAAAAAGCCAGTTCATGACCCCTTTAATTTGAATGTACGGCTGTTTTGTTTTCTCTGTTCTTAACCAGGATCTGTTTTTCATGTTTTTACTGAGAAATATGTGTGTAAACTTTTGAACACTATGAAGGTGTATGATAACTCTAACTTTGTTGAAATAACATTTTCAGTAAAATTTTGAGCATGATTCTCGAAGACTGACACAACCGACAGATGTAATACTGATGATCACCTGATTCGTACACTTCCATCTCGCACACTCGGAGGATGTTCATATCAGGAAGGCGTACGTTTACGTACTGTCCATCCCGATCACCGCAGAAGTAGGTGACGCTGCTGCTTGCTGGATCAACTGAGATCATGGTACATCTGCGGGATCACACATGCAAATTCAACCAGTATTTTACTGTTTAACAAAACAAACTATAAAGTATAAAAGTGCACATAGGCATTTCTTTAGGAAACCAAACGGTTTAATTAAATGATAATGAGAGATAAACCTCTTCACTGTCAGTCAAGTGACATTTCCAACTTATATTGTTATAAATCTTGAATACTTTATGGTACAAACTTAAGTTTGGCACTTAACAGATTATTATACACAAATTTAAAACAGAGTTAATATGGTCCACTGTACAGAGTGTTGAAGAAACTCTAAATTATTGTTAAAGTTAATTAGATCCTTTTTTTTAAGCATTAAATAATTGTTTCGATTATATCGTTACACCAGTAGGTGGTGATAAAAAACTGTTGCCGCTGTTAAAAAATGTATATTTCCATTGAATTCATTCCCCAGGAGCACGTTTAAAGACCTACATCACTCGCGACTGACCTGGGATTGTCGTTTCCGTTGTTCTGCAGAGAGTTTCCGAAATGAATTTCAACATTTTCCCATAAAGAACTCGAAAAGTATGTGATTCTGTAAGTGACGACCACGATGTCCACTCGATACGAAGCCTGGAGATCCAGCCTCCACCACGGGTCAGTCTCTTTAAGGGTAAAGGCACAGAAGTTAGAGGATATAGAGAAATCCTTCACACCGTCAATGCCGAGATCCGCTGATCTGTCTGTCGAAGACTGAGTGGCAGTTCCTCTTGCCGCCAGATTCTCTGCAAAAGGCAAATTAATTTGATGTTGAGAGAGGAAATTTCATGACAAGTTATCTTAAAGAGATAGTTCACTTTGAAATTAATGTTTGGTATGTTTTATCTGACCTCAAGGGCATCCAAGATGTAGGTGTCTTTAATTCCACAGTATTTTCAATTTTGACATTTTTCAGTCTAACCGTTGTTGTCTATCAGTCATACACTGGAGGCTAAGGGGGTCCACCAAAGAGCAGCACAGAGAAGTCCAAATTAAACATGATTCAATGACTCGTAAATTTAAGTACACATTCATGGCCTAAGACACGAAACGAGCGGTTTGTGTGAGAAAACCAACAGGATTTATATCGTTTTTACCTCTTGTAATCACAGTGATCTGAATCAGTTGTTCAATGTCCAACGGAACCGAACTGAATCAGTTGTTCAATGTCCAACTGAACCGAACTGAATCAGTTGTTCAATGTCCAACTGAACCGAACTGAATCAGTTGTTCAATGTCCAACTGAACCGAACTGAATCAGTTGTTCAATGTCCAACTGAACCGAACTGAATCAGTTGTTCAATG